GAAGCAGAGCCTCTGGGAACGGGACTGAGAGGGGCCATAACCGCTCCCTCCGCCCGCCCGCCCTGTTGAGCCCGCCCCGCCCAAGCCCTGCGCAGAGCCATTTGCCAGATCGCCTCAGGCAAAGGCTAGATTAGCACCTCCCCAGAGGACAGAAGTTTTCCGCGGCAGACACAGCTGATTCACACAGCCAGTCGGCCTGGTGGTCAAATCCCTCTAGTATTAACTACAACAATCAAGGCTCAACTAGAACAAGACTGCGCACAAAGACCACTAGGGGGTGCACCAAGAAAGCATAAAAAATGCGGAGACAAAAAAACATGACAGAAATGGACGATATAGAGCTAAAAAACGCAATTTTGAGGGCTTGCAATAAACTTTTGGAGAGCTTCACGAAAACTAATGAGACCCTCGATGCTATGATAAAGAAACTAGAAATTAAGCATACACGCTCTGAAATAAAGAATATTACACCCAATAGCAGACCAGAGGAGCGCAAGAATCAAGCCAAAGATTTGAAATGCGAAGAAGCAAAAAACACCCAACCGGAAAAGCAAAATGAAAAAAGAATCCGAAAATACGAAGATAGTGTAAGGAGCCTCTGGGACAGCTTCAAGCGTACCAACATCAGAATAATAGGGGTGCCAGAAGATGAGAGACAGCAAGATATTGAAAACCTATTTGAAGAAATAATGGCAGAAAACTTCCCCCACCTGGTGAAAGAAATGGACTTACAGGTCCAAGAAGCGCAGAGAACCCCAAACAAAAGGAATCCAAAGAGGACCACACCAAGACACATCATAATTAAAATGCCAAGAGCAAAAGACAAAGAGAGAATCTTAAAAGCAGCAAGAGAAAGAAACTCAGTTACCTACAAGGGAATACCCATACGACTGTCAGCTGATTTCTCAACAGAAACTTGGCAGGCCAGAAGGGAATGGCAAGAAATATTCAAAGTGCTGAATACCAAGAACCTACAACCAAGAATACTTTATCCAGCAAAGCTATCATTCAGAATTGAAGGTCAGATAAAGAGCTTCACAGATAAGGAAAAGCTAAAGGAGTTCATCACCACTAAACCAGTATTATACGAAATGCTGAAAGGTATCCTTTAAGAAGAGGAAGAAGAAAAAGGTAAAGATACAAATTGTGAACAACAAACATGCATCTATCAACAAGTGAATCTAAGAATCAAGTGAATAAATAATCTGTTATAGGGGGGGAAAAAAAAAAGAAAAAAAGTAACCTGAACAATAAAGGTTTAAATTAAAAAAAAAAGAATTAAAAGGATTGGGGGGAGGTACTAAATTTTGTATGCAAAGCACATGGAATCACTTCATTTTGTGCGATGCAGCTTGGATTCTTTTTCATTATAAACATTTTACCTTTCACACAAAAAATAAATTTTGAGATATTTTTCCTAAAGTGACCATCTCTGGGTAATAATTCGTCTTTGATGGTCAGAGATACAGTAGCACTAATGCATCCTCTGCAATGCCTCCACCTCCAACTGTAGTGGGATAAGTCAAACCTTGAGACATTTGGTTAGCAATTTCTAGGCTTTATTAGCAGTAAATTCTCTTTGGAAATATAACCTTAGGTACTCTTAATTAATGATTAAATATAGGACTAGTGCATAGTTTCCATGAAGCAAAAAGAATCTCTGATCAAGGCTACAAGATATGAATTAAAATCATTAATGGATTCAAAAGTGACTGACTGGTTTATTACAGGCTTCCTGTAGCAGGTTATTTATTAATGACCTTTTATATTAGGTCTCAGTTTCCTCATCTTTAAAATAAAGAAGTTGTGCAGGTTGATCTCCTACAATACCTTCCATCTCTAACATTCTATGATTTTGATACTTCAGAGGTACTTGAATAAAACTACATGTACATGCATATAGCACTTTGCAGGTGAGCAAGCGCTTACACATCCATTGTCATCTGATCCTCACATAACCTTTTGAGGTAATAGTGCAGGTATTATTTTCTCTGTTGGACAGGTATAGAAACTTGCTCAGGGCACAACTAAAAACTGGTGGAACTAGAACTTGGATCTAATTGTTTTCATTATAATTAACTAGTTATTAATACTAATAATAGGACGAGAGCAAAAGGGAGGCCCAACATTATAAATACGGTCATCTGGGCAGCTTCGCCAAGAAGCTACAGCTTCACGCTCCCTCGGGAACCACCGGTCCATTCCCTGCAGATCACTGGGGAAGGGAATGAACAAAGGGGGAGATGGTCACATGTGTAGTGAAGTCCAGGTGACAGACATAGGGACGGTGAATTCCTGTCAGTATAACTGGGGAACAATGGATTGGCTAGGGTGTAGACCCCACTAGAAGCACATGAAATCTTGGGAAAGTAAAATCCCCAAAGAGTTCTTTTTCTCTCACTTGCTCTTGTTGGCTTGTATTCTTGTTCTCTTTTGCTCTATGACCCGCACACCCCCGTGCACTCACCTGTTCTCTCTCCTGTGAGCTCACCCATTCTCTCCACAGCCATGTGGCCTTAAGTAGCCACGGCCCTGGGCCATGTAGACTCCACACTCAGGATGCTTGACTGGACTGGACTTTAATATGCAACAGAAATTCTGGGTGGTGGCCTCAATTCTGGCCTTACTGAAGACAAGGCTGGACTTCTACCATGGTGAGACGGATAGAGATGGGACCTTGGAGGGAATCCCCTTAATTTTACATCATCAATAAAGCTTTCCACAAAACCCCAGCTTCCTGTAAGAGCCCTAGGGAATTTCTTTCCTTGAGACACCCCAAAAACTCCACTTCCACCAATAACACAATATTCTAAATTTTAAGTCAGTGCTCTTTCAACTCTATTATGACACCTTGAAACTAGTATTTAGAACATGGGGCAGCCATGGCTGGGTGGCTCAGTTGGTTGGAGTGTCATCACAGGGGGTTCCCTCCAACAAAAGGGGGTTCCCTCCAACAAAAGGTTGCAGTTGCCTGGTCAGGACACATACCTAGGTTGCACAGGTTGGATCCTGGGGTGGGGTGTGTACGGGAGGCAACCAATCGCTGTTTCTCACATCGATGTTCCTTTTTCTCTCTCTCCCTTCCTTTCTCTCTCTAAAAATCAATGACCAAAACATATCCTCGGGAGAGGATTTAAAAAAACATGGGGCAGTGTTTGACTTGGAGGTGTAAAATAACATAGCTGGCAATGCTACACAGGTGTTAGGAGATTGCTGATAATAGGGGTCTATCAATTTATCAGAACCAGGAAAGTATGTTGATATTCATATTGACTCCAGAATCAAATATTACCAAACTTTAAGTGCTGACTGAACATAGGATGAGGCCAAGAAATGTAAGACAGCACAGCATGAGTAAATTTCTCTGATAAAATTTCTCTAAGAGTTTCCTGTTTTATTTCAGTTTGGTAGCTGAAGCTTAACAGTGGGGGTGGGGTGGGAACAAACAATCTACTCACTACATGTCTTTTGCCCATCTCAGCATGCACACGTCTCTTCCTAAAAACAAAACAAAACAAAACAGCATGAATTACCAGGTGTAGAAAGATCCCTAAACCTTTTTATGTTTTAGTCCCTCCCCTTGTAATAACTACCATGTTGGACAGTTTTCTATTTGCTAAGCTCTCCCTTTCTCTCTCTCTTTTTTCTGACCATAAGCTAAACTTGTTTGTTTTATGACAGATAAAATCCAAAGCAAATGTCTGAGGACAGGTTGCTGGTTGCTGTCTTCTACTGAGGGATCTTGAAAGTTGAGCAGAAGAAACTATTTAAAATTGCAAGTGTTTTGTCTAATCTTTCTGGAATCTCCTCAGGCTGTAGTACAGTGGTTCTCAACCTTCCTAATGCCGTGACCCTTTAATACAGTTCCTCATGTTGTGACCCAACCATAAAATTATTTTCGTTGCTACTTCATAACTGTAATTTTGCTACTGTTGTGAATCGTAATGTAAATATCTGATATGCAGGATGTATTTTCATTGTTACAAATTGAACATAATTAAAGCATAGTGATTAATCACAAAAACAATATGTAATTATATATGTGTTTTCCGATGGTCTTAGGCGACCCCTGTGAAAGGGTCATTCGACCCCCAAAGGGGTCGCGACCCACAGGTTGAGAACTGCTGCTCTAAAAGAATGCAGATTCTTAGGGAAGTCCACAGTTAAAAATCAATTATAAACCACTGCTCCAGAGGTTTCTTCCTAGTCCACTAAATTTTAAATAACATGTCAGGGGGTTCATAGGCGTCCTGAATGAAATGCACTCATTAATCACACTCCAGGTCAAGAATCTCTGGACTCATATGTCAGGTGGTTATAAGTGCTTTGATAAATGAGAATAGAAGACAGTAGGAATGATGGCCACCTGGGATAAGATGTCAGATACGTCTTCTCTGAGGCCCCCTGCGAGCAGACTGGCGCTGGTGCAGACCGCTGAGGGAGCATGCCAGGAAGAGGGAACAGCAAGAAGCAGAGGTTCCAGGAGAGAACACAGAATGCGCTTTGGTGGATGCCACGTGCACATCCTCATTCCTCCTCCTCTCCCCCACTTCCTCTCTGCATCCCTGCCCCGCTCCGTTCTCGTACAACTTCTCCCCAGGACCCTGCTGGTCTCCTTAAGGATAAGGAGTTCGGGGGCCACGCCTCCACCTTCCCCCAGTCTCACCAAGGCTTCCCTCTCTGAAACAATGAATTGAGAGTCAGAAAAGCTGAGCTCGGGTTCTGTCATGTTGTAGGCCCTTGTCAGTCAATTACTGGTTGACACTGAACTTCTGGTTTCTCGACCACGAGATGATTGTGACTGTTCGTTCTGTAATCTGAGATCTGAGATTCCGACCTCAGGGTTCTTCTCTGTCTATCCCCCGTTTCCGTCACGTCCCCTCCCGGCGGTTTCGCCCTCTTCCCCGAGCCCCCTTCTCCGCCACCGTCCGCCCAGTGTCTGACCCGCCCCCTTTCCTGGTGTGCGCCTGCGCAGGCTGTTGGGACGATTACTTTTGACCCTGCCGAGGAGCCGTAGTCTGCGGAGCGCCGGCGGCAGGGGATTGTGGGAGAAGATGGCGGCCGCCGCTCACCCCCGGGTTGTCCGGGTCCTGCCAATGTCACGTAAGTGTCACTGGGAAAACGGGCCCGGTTTGGGATTCCGGGACAGGGTGACGATGTGGGGGGTGGCGCCGCGCCGCAGCGGTCATGCCGACGCCCTGGACACGGGTTTTCTAGGTCCAGGGCTGCGCCCGTTCAGTTTCTCCTTTCCTTTCCGTCTCCGACTCACAAATTGACAGGCGCATTTGGGAAGGGGTCTGCGCTGGGAGAACGTGAGCAACGGGAAGGGGAGAGGAGAAAGCGAGGGTCGTTTAACCGATCGAGAGAATCGGGGTTCTCATAGGGTTGCCAGGCTTTGGGGTTCTGAGAAATACTTACGTCGGGGTGCGGGGTCGTGGAGAGGAGTCTGGAAAGGATGGGGGCGGGGAGGATAGTGGAGAGAAGGTTCCTAAGTGATTGGCTTTAAGACCTTGTGCAAACCTTTAATCGGGCTCAAGATCTTTCGTGACACAATGGAAATGATGATACCACAACGTCAGGGAGTTTCGAAAAACTAAGTGATACTCATGAAAGCACTTTCTGAATCAAAAGCATCTCCGTAGAGAAGAGTGTTAGACCGAGGTGCTGGGCCTGGGGGACGAGGGATGCTTGTAGGGAAGGGAAGGGAAGAGTAAAGGATAGCTTGGGATTTTCTAAGCGTTGTTCATTCACCCCTTCGTCCTTACTAGATCGCCTATTAGCGTCCTGAGACTGAAAACATGCATTTACTCTCCCACCCAGTAAGAGAGGCTAGAAAGGCAAAGAAATTTAATCCAGTTATGCTTTTCACCCTCCAGCCCTTCACAAACACGCCATCGACCTCCAGAAGTTGTATTTTTTTTTATGGTACCTGATATCTGCTAATCACAGCTCTAGATTTTTTTAAAAAAATTATCTATATTGAAAGTATTACTGATGTCCCCTTTTAGATATTTTTATAATTGCTTTTTCTTCAACTTTTTTTTTGTAACTGACATAGCTTGTCATGCCGCTTTATTGTCTCTGGTAAAATAACCTTTTAACTAACTCTGGAGAGGCAAGTTTAATGTGCAATATAATCAAGACACTATAGAACAATTGTGTGAAACAAAGATACATAGTGAAGTGTGGAGGGACTATTGAGTACCATAGGAAATCAGAAAAGGGAAAGATGGGTATCATTTGAAGCAATGAGGGAAGATTGGAAGACCAGGGAAGAATGGCAGTTTTCCCACTGATTTTGTGAGGGTTGTTATGATCTAGAAAGTCAGAAAGGTTGGACATTTTCCTGTCACTGGCAAGGACTAGGGGGTGAGAATGGAACCATAAAGAACTTAGGAGGCAGTGAAATGACTACCTGTAGGTCTGATAGTAGGAAAGGAAGTTGGATACATTACATGGGATCAAATAATAGAGGCCTTTGAAAGCCAAACAGTTTTAAATCAGTGGTCTCCAAAGTGGGTTTTGCAAGAGGAAATGATAGAATACAAAATAAAACAAAACCCACACAACAACCAAACTAATACTTATGTTATTCAAACTATGTAACACTGTTCTTTTTAAAAATATATATTTTATTGATTTTTTACAGAGAGGAAGGGAGAGGGATAGAGAGTTAGAAACATCGATGAGAGAGAAACATCAACCAGCTGCCTCCTGCATACCCCCTACTGGGTATGTGCCCGCAACCAACGTGCATGCCCTTGACCGGAATCAAACCTGGGACCTTTCAGTCTGCAGGCCGATGCTCTATCCACTGAGCCAAACCGGTTAGGACTTGAATAGCTTCTTTTAAACTCAGATTTTGAATCTTCCTGTGTTGAAATGTAAGCTGATTTAAAACTATGATCTCGAATAAGATCTGTATACTGCACTGTGTGCCCACCACCCAAAGTCAGATCTTCTCCTGTCACCACGTATTAGGACTCCCTTCTCTCCCCACTCCATTACCTCTGGCAACTTGTTTGTGTTCACGAATTTCAGTTTTATATCCCACATATGTGTGAAATCATATGGCTATTAGCTTTTTCTAACTGACTTATTTCACTTATCATAATATTCTCAAGGTCCACCCATGTTTTTGTAAATGACACTATTTCATCCTTTCTTATGGCTAAGTAGTATTCCATTGTGTGTATATACCACATCTTTATCCAATCCTCTATTGCAGGACACTTTGTTGTTTCCATGTATTGGCCACTGTGAATAATGCTATAACTAACATAGGGGTGCATATATCTTTGTGAATACATGATTTCAAGTTTTTCAGATATATGCCCAGGAAAGGGATTGCTGGGTAGTGTTGTAGCTCTATTTTTAATTTTTTGAGGCATCGCCAGACTGCTTACCATAGTGATTGTATGTACACTGATCTAAGTGATTTAATACATGTTTTATAATGTATATACTCTTGGAGTACTTAGAACATGTGTGTAATTTATAAATAAGCACTTAAAAATAATTTAGTATGCAAGTAAATATGTTTGGAGACAATTTATTTAGATATTACAGTAGAAAACCAATGTAGGTTTTTGAACAGAGGAATGTAAGGAATAAATAATGTTATTCTCCTAATGGTGTCCATAATAAATGGAAGAAAATGGAGAGGCTGGAACCAAAGAGGGTAATAACATATTTATTGAGCACATACATGAGCAAGGCACTTACCAGTATATTATTAATATCCATACAACCCTCTAAAATGTTAGCTCCATGAGGGTAGGGACTTCGTTTTTTTTTTACTATGCTAGACACAGTTTTCTAGAATAGTTCTTGGCCCATAATTGTTGAAAAAACAAATAACCATGTGAGGTTAGTGTAACATTACCTTCTGAGGTATTTTGAAGTAGTAATAAATGAAAACAGCTATTATTCATGCAATGTGCTAAATATGAATTAGGTAATGTGCTGAATGCCTTATGTACATTTATTCTGATCCTCATAACAATCCTTTGTGTTATTAATTCTTTGAGTCCAGTAATTGTTCCCATCTTCTTGACTGTCCTTTATCCTATGCCCTCACTTCCTTCCTTACTCATCATTTTAATAATTCCTTTTCATACATTCTCAACTCTCCAGCCCATCTCCCTTTGTCAGCAAAAAAGTCAACACTGATTAAACCAAACTTTCCATGTATTTCCTGCTTGCCCCTGAGCAGTGGAGAATTGAGCTAGGAAAACACCAAACTAACTGACTGACCTTATTTTAAATTCATGAATACAAATCTCAAAGTAGATTTTCAATAGAATACAAAGTAGGTATTCAACACTAACATTTCCATAGGAAATTTGCTTTCCCTTTCTCTATAACAATTATTATATTTTTTAAAATATATTTTATTGATTTTTTGCATAGCGGAAGGGAGAGAGATAGAGAGATAGAAACATCGATGAGAGAGAAACATCAATCAGCTGCCTCCTGTACACCCCCTACTGGGGATGTGCCCGCAACCAAGGTACATGCCCTTGACCAGAATCGAACCCGGGACCCTTGAGTCCGCAGGCCGACGCTCTATCCACTGAGCCAAACTGGTTAGGGCTATAACAATTATTTAACATGACCAATCTTTTAAAGCTTTTAACATGTGCTTCTCTCTAATTCTCTGCTTTACAGAGAAATCAAGGTATCAGATGAGAAAAATCTCTTTTTCCCACCGCAAAAATCTAATAGCTGACCTGTGATAATTCTCTGCCTTCTCTCCAAATGAGCTCCTTCAGCTCTGATCTATAGCCATCCTCTCTTATCTATTCATTCCCTCTTTTGCATCATTAATTTTTCTCATCAACTGGGTCACTTCCTTTAGCATCCATATATATAAAGAGCCAGGGGCTGTCACAACTGAAACCAACGAATGGACGACCGAACAGGCTGAGTGGGGCGACAAGGCCGGCAGGAGGGTTAGTGAGAGACGACCAAATGACTGAGCAGCAGGCTGCGTGGGGCGACCAGGCTGGCAGGGGAGGCAGTAAGGGACAACCAAACAACTGAACAGCAGGCTGTGTGGGGCAACTAGGCTGGCAGGGGGGACCGTAAGGGGCGACCAAGCTGGTGGGGGGCAGTTCGGGGCGAACAGGCCAGCAGGGCGGGCAGTTGGGAGTGACCAGGCTGGTGGGGGAGAGTGAGGGGCGACCAGGCCAGCAGAGGGGGTTAGTGAGGGGTGACCAGGTCAGCATGGGGGGCGGCTGTGAGGGGTGACCAGGCTGGCAGGGGGGCAGTTGCGGGTGACTAGGCTGGCGGGGGGGCAGTTAGGGGCGACCAAGCCAGCAGGGGAGGGCAGTTAGGGGCGATCAGGTTGGCAGGCAGAGGCAGTTAGGGGTGACCAAGCCAGCAGGGGGGCCAGTTAGGGGCGATCAGTCAGACAGGTCGGTGAGCAGTTAGGAGCCAGTTGTCCCAAATTGTGAGAGGGATGTCCAACTGCCTCGGGCCTAAACTGGCAGTTGGACATCCCCCGAGGAGTCCTGGATTGGAGAGGGTGCAGGCTGGACTGAGGGGACCCCCCCATATACGAATTTCGTACACTGGGCCTCTAGTATGCTATAACATCTCATATTTTTAAAAAGCTACCTTCCTTGTCTTCATGTTACTCTAGTCCTATTTTTCTTTGCCCCTTTATATCAGATCTCCTCAAAAGATTATCAGTACTCCTTTTACAATTTCCTTTCTTCACATTTTCTCTTTTGCTTGCTCCATTCAGGCATTAATTCCTACTATTCCAATAAAATTTCTCTTGTTAAGGCCATTTATAGCCAACATTTTATAGATCTCATAGTACTCTGTCTTCATGCTACTTCACTTTTCAGCATTGCTTCATAGAGCTAACACCAGTAGACACCCCCCATCCTTATCTACAGTTTTGCTTTCCACAGTGTTAATTACCCTGCACTCTGAAAATATTAAATGGAATATTCCAGAAATAAACAATTCATAAGTTGTAAATTGCCCATCATTTTCAGTAGCATGATGAAATCTCGTGCTGTTCTCCGTGCTGCCAGAACGTGAATCATCCCTTTGTCCAGCATATCCATGCTGTATAGCTACTTGCTCATTAGTCACCTAGTAGTTGTCTCAGTTATCGGATCAATTGTAGTGCTTGTGTTCAAAGTAACTCTTATTTTACTTAATACTGGCCCCAAAGAGCAAGAGCAGTAATGCTGGTAATTAAATTAACTTAATTTAAAGTTAATATAAGCTTTAACCTAAGTAAATGAAAATACTGATAGCAAATAATGTAATAGGTTCCTAGGAAAATGAGCTATTTGTATTCATTCATAGTCACTGTTATATTAATACTTCCCATTTTTGTATATTCTGGGCTTTTGTTTAAGGTTCTTCTATTACTGCATTAGCCACAGCCGTGCTTCATCGCCCACCCCAGCGCCAGCTTCACCATGCACTCATACCTCATGGGAGAAGTGGGCGTTCCTCAGTCAGTGGGGTGGTGGCCACTGTGTTTGGAGCAACAGGATTCCTGGGCCGATATGTTGTTAACCATCTTGGTAAGTAAAGTTCCTGGAGTTTAGTATACTCCAGTGCCACTTTTTAGGGTTATCTAATGAGAAGCCAGGAGCTATGTTTCTTTTCATTTTAACAGTATTCTGAATGACTCCTGTCTTGGATTTATGTGATTTTGGTCTTCTGTGAGCATTGTGAGCACATTCATACTTCCTCATACTTCCTATGTGATGCTAAAATGGGAATAGGGGACTCTGAAAAGTTACGGCATCTCTGACATGCCAAAATACACTTTTTGTTATAGATAGTGTCAATTCACGTGTACTGGCATTTAAATATTTACCACATCACTGTCATATAATCCTATCTAATAATAGATAAACATGGTAATTAACCATACCTCCGCTACGCTTCCCATTGGCTAATCAGCAGGATATGCAAATTAACTGCCAACAAAGATGGCAGCCGGCAGCCACGCACGAACATGAGGCTTGCTTGCTCCAGTGATGGAGGAAGCCAAGGTTCCCTGCCTGCCGCAGCCCAGCTCTGAGCTCCAGATGCAACAATGTTTCAATTATACAAGCTAAACAAACCCCAGATACCTGCTTTCAGCCAGCCACGACCTCAGAGCTGGAGCTGGCTCTCAGCTCCAGTGACAGCCATAGAAGTAAATAAATCCCAGAATAAAAAAAAAAGAAAAAAAAAGAGGCTGGGAGCTTCAGTCGCCCGCCAGCCTGAAAATGGCCCTCAGCCCCTCACCCAGACTGGCCAGGCACCCCAGTGGGGACCCCCACCCTGAAGGGGGTGTGACCAGCTGCAAACAGCCATCAGCC